AATAGATATTATTAAAGTCTTTCTTTTATGTTAGGTAATACACGAAACGTGCTCTTCTGTCTTCTAGTTCCTTATCTAGGCTATTTGTGAATAAACTGACAGTTGTTGCACCCAGTATTTTTTCACTAAGTGAGTTCTACGAGTATACCACAAGATTTGAAATGAAATTTCTCCTGATCGACTTAGATATTTTCTCCTTCTCTAATTCTTTGGTATTCCTCGGAGATGAAGATTCTGACTCATATTTAATATTTGAAGGGTACCTGAATAGCAGCCATTGATGATCTTGAATCTCCCCTCGTAATCTTCGCTGCGCGAGTGTTATCAAATTCATAGCCTTTAGACGTTGTTCATATGGCAAATGTCGAATCTCAGGTGGAATTAGCGTTATTTTACGTTGCAGTCTTTCCAGTAGTTCACTGTCTTTGACAAAATCGGGACCCCATGTTCAAGTTTTGGTCGAATGTACAACTTGTATAAGCTTTTCTAACAAAGCCGGAGAATTGTTTTTAACAGCTTTTTCAATCAAATATACCCGTGAGTTAATTTTCTAATTTTGTTGGTAATGAGAGCTTCCCATTTTAAATTATGTGCTATTATAAATAAATAAATAAATAAATAAAAACGCCTTTATTTTAAACTCGGCGAAGGCCAGCTATGCTGTTAACTTAACCGAGCATGTAAAAAGTAACAACAAGCCAAAAAGAAAAGTAATATGACAAGAACTTATAACTCCTAGGTCTTTCTGGTACTGTACATTTTCAATTTCTAGAGGATTTGTCTTCCCAATACGAACTGTCGTGCACTTTTCTGGATTGAGTGACATTTGCCATTTCTTAGACTACCCTTCGATGGCAAGGATGTCCTTTTTTATTTCGACCTCTTGTAATCTCGGGTTTCCGAATATCAGCTGCATAGAATGAAATGTTTGTTTTTATACCCATCGATAGATCTGACGTGAAAACAAGAATTAAAAGAGATCCTAGAACAGAGTCTTGTGGATCACCACTTAGCACTGGGTGTGGGTCACTTAGAACCCCATTTGATCTTACTTGGACGCTTCTGTCCAGCCTGAAAGTTTACCTCGTACACCAAAGTGATCAAGTTTAAATCAAATGTTTATGGGAAACTTTATCAAAAGCTTTTTCGTAATCAAGATATATCATATCCTTCGTCATCCACAGTTGTCCATTTTTGAAAAGCAGAGAGCAAGCTGGTATGACGTTATTTTGAAGTATCTCAGCTACTTCTGCTGCTACTGACGAAACGTGTACGTGTCGAATCGTGTTTTTAGTAAACTGAACTTCGACAAAGAGAGACGAATGGCTTTTTGGCTATGTTTAGACGTCCACCAAACCCAGATGTCTGCTTGTACGCCTCTTATAGGTTAATCTCTTGTGATTTTAATATTAGGCCTCCTTAACCAGACTCTTTCGAGAATTACGCATCTGGTGATAGGTTCTCAATATATTATTCCCATAATACCGATATTTATGAAAGAAATTACCTCATTACCGAATACTTGACATTAATGACCTGCGACCAAACAACATTCTCATTTACTAATTATCCATATAAATACCTTATAAACTTGCTCAATTTTATATTTCTCATTTTTCATCAGACTCCGAGGCGATAGGATACCATCATGAAACATCACAACTTCTATACTTGTTAACAGATCAGGCTAACCATGCATCATGTTATAGAACAAAGTCTTATAGACGTATTCAATTTACAGGAATTATACTCTTGAGGGTAAAGAATACTAGAAGTGCAAGTAATTCTGCTACACAGCTTTAAATGCCAAATTGTTGTAACTATTACGCAGTTAGATAAGTCGTCAAAAACACCAATCTCAAAAGAGTCAGTCACAGTTAGTTTGGAGATATTTTTGATGTACATTTTTGGATGTTAATCACTACAACGGCTTTAACTTTTGAATGCTATTTTATATTCACTTTATGACGCACTTTTCGGCAAGAATCGACACCTATAGATTTTTTTCTAAAATTCCATATATCCTGGTCTATAATCATTGACTGGTTTTGGAAGGAAGCATGTTAATTTGTTGTTTGTTCTTGGTGCCAACCTGCGACAAAAGAATCGGGTTATTTTCCACGAATATATGTGTACGGATTATGATTTAAGCAAAAAAGTGGTACTTTTCCTTCGCTACAAGGTACATTCCATTAGAGATTAATAGAGACTATAGTGTATGAGCATTTGGAAAAAAGCTTTGAGTTAAGGTTTAAAAATTCAAAGTCAAAAGTGTATTATTTTACCACACAAACTCCCCTTTGACTGAAAGAAACAAAAGATGAAATAATTATGTTCATAAACTAATTGCTTACATCTTAATCGTTACATAACAATGACATTTGCAAATTAGAGCGAAATTCAGATGAAGAAAAGGTGATGAGTTTTGCTTTCAGAATAATTATAAATATTTGAAACAGTATCAACAACGATGTATGGTATTCAAAAAAATATGTCAAATAAATTGATCCGAATACAATTTGAGCTTTGAGAAAAAATTTAATCAAGCTTCAGAATAATCTTCCAGTTTATGGTTAAAAAACAATTCGATGATAAATTTTACATCTTAAAAATTATTCTATGGACTGGAAATTAGAGAGAGTAAGGAATACATTTATCTCTGATTAAATGATTCACCAAAGACCAGTGGCGTATGTGGAAGAGCTTTGGAACGTCTAGTTACAATTGTACATGTGTTACATGAAATTTAATTAATAAAATTGAGTCGTTTTGACTTATACGGTTAACCGATGTATTTGAAAAAAAATCTAACGATATATTGGAAAGGTGCCTCTTATATTTTTCGATGGTACTTTTTGAGACATCTCTGAACTTGTTTTATGAAGTAGCAAACATCCAGGCTAGGGAGGATTGAAGTAGACTAAAAAGCAATGGCAGAATCCGGATAATTAATTTTGTCTTGGATCGTTATCCAATATTCGTTCACAAGTTGAGACATCTAATTTTGTACAATCGGCTCCCTTCAATGGTTCTTTTATAGAGTACAAGAAAAAGCGGCTCGAAAATTAATTAGGATATAGAAGCCTCTCCGAAGTTACAGATACCAGAGGACTTTCATTTGAATGATATAAGCTTTTAAGAAAAAAAACTCCACGCCCTCAACGGCGTATGTTCCCTCTAGAAGTGGCGAAGGTAGAGGTAATATAGATATTTTAAGAAATAAGCGTTGTCTTAAGTAAAAAAATCGTCTCTCTTGTCTTGAAATTTTCCAAAATGCTTTTTTTTGCTGAAAACACTTCCTTAAAGGCAAATGCGTACCTTAGTCATGATCCATGTAAGTAAATATATTGATTCCCCTTCAAATAAAGCGCCTAATGCACATTTATTGTCACTTTTTTTGCTTGCACTACACTATGGCGGGTACCTGACCGGGCTATTTTAAAAACAGTACCTAGATTTCTGATTTGTTTTATTTCCATATTTATGTGCTATATGCACCAACATACAAAAAAAAGGTTACGTTCAAACACAATATTACTGACTCAGTCGTCATCATTTTATTAAAAGACGGAATTACCCGCACAACACCTATGTAGCAAAATGAAAATACTGTTGAAAAAATAAATTTTGATGCCTGGTAGTCCAATAAACATATGGGTTCCTTTTTGGGCTTTTTCATTATTATATACGTATATCAATCCTTTGAAATTCATTTACGACTTTAAGTCAAGAAAAGTCCTTTGCAACTGGTTCATTTCTCAATTGTATTGAGCCCTGAAAAAATCAAAATCCTGTAACTTATTATGTTTTCAAAATGACCGATTCAGATGCAGGGTTTCGAAAATGATCGAGACATTTTTATGGAACTTTGGATGCAAATGCACAGAGACGTTTAAATTATGAGTTTTTCAAGTTCGCACACAATGCTATGTTAAGGCGATGCAATTTTTCAGGGCAAACATATGAAATTATTCTTTATTCATTCGTCTTCAAAGAATAAATAATGATTCTCAGCTGGTTGTGACTATGAAGTATATAGATAAAAAAAGGGCGTCAAGTAGGTTGACTCTGCACTTCCCACGCAACCCCGTCATCAGTCCATAAAGAATACGTCCAGCACAAGTTAGACCCTGAAAAAAAGTTAGTCATAAGCATATATAATACAGAAATCGAACGTATCAAGTCAGTCAAACAGGTTCGTACAATTAGTGTATAGACATACTTTTCCTGCCCCATCGGTAGTCCATGGGGCAACGGCGCCTCTCCCCGAAACCTAAACCGGTCCGCTGCGGCAGTGCGGCAGTAATACCAGAACACTTACCAACACCAGCACACCACCGGTAGCAGACGATGATTGTTACTTTATGTCCAAAGCCGACTTTACATTCAACATAATATAAATGAACCTTAGATTCTGAAGTATTTTAAAATAAACAAAAAAATAACAGTCATCAAATAAGAATCGACGACCGGATCTAAAAGTGTAGCATAAAAATGGGAGGTAACTGCATTATTGCAGTAATAAAAACGCTATCCATTTGATGACATGCAGAAAGAACTGCTGCGGTATGGAACACAGAAGCTTCCGGAGGTATGTAAACATTTCGATGTTTAATAGCAGGAAGGGTATGTCGATAGAAGTTTAACGAGCTCTACATAATAAGAAAGGCACATAGAGAAATAAACATTCACAAGAAATGAGAGCTCTAGCGCTTGAAGAGTTCGAGCCAACAAAGCTGTAAGGAATGCATAAATATATATTGAAGCTTTTCAGTTATCCCAAATAACAAGCTTTTATATGATAACAAACATATACCTTCTCTAAAAATATTATATTGCCAAATATGGACATTCCTCGGACTATAAAATGAAAAAAGGATGCCTTTATTCTGGTTAACGAAGGTAAGTAAAGTTACCTTCGATCTTCATTCAAAACCGGATTTTGGCATATTTTATAAAGCACGCCAATGGTATCTTCGACGTGTTTTTTTGCGGTAGATAAGTGTATATAAAATTGTATACCATCGATATAAAACAACCTGCGTTTGCAGACCCGTACATCTTTTGTTCAGCCATCTTGCCGGTGACACTCGCACAGTTCGGAGATCTTATTGCTAATAGTAAACATAATAAAAAATGCAGTTCATCGCGTATATAGTGGTATTGCTTGGACTAGCTAGTGCCAGGAAACTACGTAAGTGGTTATTTTGATTTTCAAGAGCTTTGCTTTTTTTTGAAAAACACCTTTAATGTAAAACCATTTTTCATTGTTTTTGATATCTTTTTCCGATTAAACTACGATATTTAGATGATAATAACTTTTCAAAGAACTGAATTTACCCAAATATCTTTCAAATGAGTTCTTAATATTGTCTTAAAATGACTTGTTTATCTGTTGCTGAATCTTTAATTCATTTTTTTTTGAGATTATATTGCTTGTGTGTATAACCTTTTCATTACAATATTTACATGAAAACTATATTCATCATAAACATATCTTGTCTTCAAAGTTTGTAAAAAAATGCTTTTATTCCATTTGTGCTAGAGCTTCGAACTGAAAAAATATTCCATTTCAAACTTGACTCGAACTTGATGCAACGCACTGAGCACTTTTGGTGTTCCATGATGGTCCCCTGATGTTGATTAAATGTTGCAGTGATTTTGAGGTTTTTACAGATATTTGATATGCACGTAGTGCTTCTCGTTTAGTTTTTTGAAATTCGATAAGAAGCAAATGATTATGTTAATTATTCTTATGTTAGTTTTCTTATGATTATTTGACTTTCCAATAATCTAATAATAGGTATCTCAATAAAACTTGGGCATTTTTCATATTACTCTTGGTGAAAAAGAATCCTAATGTTTTTGCTCTGCAAAATTATAAATATGTAAATATAATTTCTTTTCTGCCAGAAATACTCCAACAAATTATATCAATTGTTGAATAAAACAAACAACATGCGGATGTTTTATTTATTTTTCTCTGGCAGATTAAGGAACGTTTTCAAAATTTGGCGAATGCTCATGCTAAATGGCTATGCATGAAGGTGGAAACGAATAAGACCATAAACATAATTGAAGGGTATAAGTAACATAAACACTGTTTTGAGATAATGGAGCTCAAAGTTGTTTCACTTTAAAAAAATCCAGGAAATGTTTAACTCACATTTTTGATTGCTTTTATTGGAAGGAAACAATGAAATTTTAGTTGATACTTGACTTTTGTAAAATAATTTTGTTTTTTTGCAAAAAGAAGCACTTATATCTTTTTTTCCCAAACATTAGCCCAATTTGATTAAAATTAAGAGCAAAACATTTGATATAACATTTTTATTCAGATTAAATACTGTTACAAACATTAAACTAAACACTAGTGTCTGAAGCCATCCATCTCACTTTCAGAATCCACGGTGTTATTAGAAGCATCAGCTGTAATCTGCTTTGATATAGATGCAGCAGCTCTGATATTAGTTTATTAATATTTTTCTGTCTTTTTTGTTGCTATGTTTTAATTCCTTATAAAAGCCGCGGTGGTATGTATTCCATGAGGAATTTCAAATTTCTTTTCTGTGCTGATGCTAAGTGAATCCTCATTTAATTCGGTGCAAAATACCTTTTCCAAATTACTGGCTGTTCTACCTTTACCCAAATAAGGGAAGGTACATGTAGTGAAAGGAAAATCCACTACCACTACTATATCTGTTGGAAGTCTGTATTTCTCGATGTAGCTTTTCTTCATGTTTATGGAATTTTCGGCTTGTTTCTGATGAAGAGCTAACTGAACCTCACTGTGCAAGACTTTATATATATTTATTATTATTATTTTGATGGGAGTCACAGCTGGAACAGGTGTCTGAGTGTGGACGTTGAAGTAGAATTCGCTATTGAAAATATATCTATAATAAGAGAGCTTCACAGGAATCTCGTTCTCGTCTTTGCAAATGGTTTTATATAAATCATACAAAATCGCAATACTTATAGGTATTTCGTCTGAGAATTTGGTTTTCTAGAATAATGGCTTGTGTATCTAGGAAACCTTTTGATGTGACTTATTGCAAAAGTTCGTTGCTCCTTTCCCATCCTCCTGTGAGTTTGTCCTTTGCCTCTTTTGTCTGGCTCAGCTATACCAAGGTGATTTGTTTTAGCACATACATATGTAAGTCTTTTAGTTGAGATATTAAATGTTTTTAGAAAAAATTGTTTGCAAACGCGCTTCTCTAGTAAAAATATATTTGTGCTAAATTTTCTTTCGATGGTGATATCAATTTTTTTCCTATTTACGTTGGATTTTTTCATACATGATGATAAAAAACAGTTTGATGATCATATGTCGGTAAATGAAGGAAGGCTTTGAAAAGCTCTCGCCTTTTTTCTTCACAAATATTTATATTGCATTTATATCGACATGTATGCTGATAGGGTTGCAGTGGCTTATTATATGCACCTGCAGTTCTAGATCGTTTTATATGGTTGATCTTCCATTCAGATGGACTTCGTAGCCTTTTGCTTGTTTTGTCTGGAGTGATATGAAGCGCCTCATCTACTGAAACTAATTCAGCGGTATCAGAGTCAAGATTGTCTTCATTTGCATCTGATTGGGAAGTGGATGATGGAACGTATTGTTCGTCTTCTTCTGTGTAGTAAGGGTCTGAAAGTAGAACAATAATTTGTAACTTGCTGGGATACTATTCAAAATAATTAAAAACGATATTGATGACAACTAATTAACAATATTATGCAAATTTAATATAGTAAGCAATAAACAACCACAAATTTTTGTTGTTAACTTATTTTGGTACTAATCATAACTATAATATAAAATAATAAGCAAATAGGCTTACCTTCGTCGTTTTCCATTTTTATTTAGGGAAAAAAGCTCGCAAATCGATGAAACAATCATTACACTATTATAAATAAATAAACTTTCGGTTGGAGTAGGAAGGGTACAAGTGCATTTGCATCCTTTCTATTCCAAAGAAAACTGCGCTTTCATTCATCTACTTTTTCTACTAGGCAATAGATGGCTTCAAATCTATTCAAATCACTTATGTCCTTTTTATTCTAATAAATATACACCTTACCTTTTCTGAGCTGTAATATGTTAAAAATGCACTTGTACCCTTTTTATTCTAACCCATTCAATTGACATTTTCAGATCATCTTTTTAATTTAAATGAAAGTTGGAAATTTCTACATGTTTGAATTTCAGGTCAAATATAAAAATATTTTTATAATGAAATTCACTTCACTTTCGGTAGCATGTTTTGCTTATTTTTTTTAACAACTCTAATAAAATATTTGGCTTGTCGCCAAGGTAAGAAGAGTCTTCCTCATATATGCTTATCACTGTCGTTATGACAACTTGCTTATCTTGGCGGTGTAATCTGAGTTTCTATACAAAACAACTACAATGTCGATCGTCTGTTTTTAATTTATTGGAGTTTTTTTTTCGTAAGGTCAGGAAAAACAGAGGTCCTCAATCATCCAATTCATGTGTGTGTATATGTGTGTGTGTGCAAGAGCGAGTGACATCTGCGTTAAGGATCGGCTCGGAAGTTAAGCATCTGCCACCAATAGTTAATCTGTTTACTTGTTTCGTATGGATTTGTGACGTAACCTCCAAAAAATCGTGAAAATAAATTTGTGTGTGTGTCAAATAATGGCATCGGAAACTGGAGTGCATTTGCCACGAAAAGAAATGTACCACCTTAATACAAACTTGACGAGAGCCTTTTCGGTTCTCTTAGTTCAAAATGAGAAGTAATTTAAGATTATTTTTTCACAGAAAACAGATATTTGGAGTTCGATCTTGCTATTGTAGCTTTCCATTCAGAATTTCTAGTATTCCTTCTAGTATTTGCAACCGCTGTGAAAATATTCTGATACAGTTTTTTTGCATAATCTGATTCAAAAATTCAACGAATTTGCGTAAACCAGGCCCAAAATTGCGTCAAAAATTTGTTGGGGCAGTTCTTTAAACAAATCGAAAAAATTAGTTTTTCCATCTGTACCAACGAAATTGAATATGTTTACATTGCATTGTTTGTCGCCAAAAGGTCTAGTTTTAGTGCATACTTTTGGCTGATTTGTTTACCATTACCTACCAAACTAACGACCCAATACAACGGCGTACACTTCTTTGCTCTGGAGAGGTGTACAAGTAGCCAATTGTACCGGATGTACTCACGTTTAGCGGGGCATAAATACTATCGGTGGTGCGATGTTGATCGCTCAGTTATTGTTATAAACATGGATAAATAAAATAAGGGAAAAAAGAGAAAGTAAATATTTATCAACGCTACTGCATACGAATCAATTTTGCTTAATTCGTGATTTTGGAAGATGAAAAATACGAAAAATTGTCTTCATCAAACAGCAGTAGTGGCGGAATACCCGATTTTGGAAATTGTAGGACAACATGCTGTTTTTATAAATCGTTATTGTGATTCGAGCAGATTTTTGGATAAAAGTTAGTACCTAGTATAGCATAATATGGAAATTATTGCTGCCAGATGATTGTCACTTACCTATTTCCGACAATCAATTGTTGTGTAGGGCAATGCGATGACTAATTGGTGTTTTTGTAAATGCCTGAAACGAAAATTGATACTTACGTACAAACACTAATACTATGATTTAAACAATGTTTGACGGCATTTTGAGCCCAGTAGCATGCAGAGTCATTCACAGGGGTCCTTTTGAAATAGAAAAAACCGAATCAGGAACTCTTTCTAACTATAAGGGCGTTTGTCGGAGTGATAATGTTCTGGGTTGAAGTTATGGTCTCGAAACTTTCTTTGGCTCCTCTGTTATTCTATTCGTTTTTGGGTACATATTGCTGCATTTTGGTTGCACCTTCCTTTGTTCGATGTCACTCGGGAACCATAGAGATCATCGTAGAATATGCCCCACCCTTAGACTCTTAGGGAATAAAACATCTTACAGTTATTTCTTATCACTTCGAGTTCATAACTGAATGCAAGGGGGTTATTTGAATCTTCCCCCGGAGAGCAATATCCGAAATGACTTTTTTACACACTTATTTTGTTGCAGCATCATATATTCAAGTATGCCGCAGGGATGATTCGACAGTAGGCGACTGTGTGCTGAAGAATCTTGAAGTGATACGACCAAAGCTTGCTCAGGGAATTCCTGAAATGAGCATCCCGTCACTGAATCCGTTGGAAATTCCTGCAGCTACCCTCGACAGTGGTGGTAGTTTCAAGGTCAGTCTCACTAAATTTCAACTTAGAACTGTCAAATTTAGTTTGCATTGCATTGTATTTCCTAGCATGATGAGAAAATTATCCAAAAAATGCTTATTCTTGTATTAAGACTTCCACGTTGGCGGTTCATATCCGGTTGAGTCCATCAAACATCCGTTTCAAATAAGCGCACATTGTCGAAGACGCAACCAAATAATGAATCACACAACCTTAGTCCATCGTATCCCTGAATCCAAAACATTGGCTGCTTGGTATGAGGATTCTGGGTGCCTCTTACAACTACAAAGTTTATATGAAGATACCAAAATGGCAATTTTTCCAAGTAAAGATAATTATTCTTGATAGAAAACTCTCTTTTTATTGTGTATCCTCGTGAAATAGGAAACAATCACCTGAGATTGCTTCGTAGTTGAGAATCACATTTAGCTAGGATAACAAAGAGTCTCGCAAGACCGGCTTTAGCCGCCTTAGGTCCATTATGTTTGTGTCGGGTGTACACTGTACAGAATTGCTGTTCCATAGACATCAAACGTAAACAATGAGTTTTAGTTCATGCAAAATTACACGGGTGCACAACCCATAGAAATCGTGTCGTCTGATTAATCGATAAGCTTTAGGCAACTGGATCAGCTCGAAGTCAGAGACCTACCCTTGTTTAAGGCATGTGTAGTGTGCTCAGTAGAAATTATACAAGGCGTTTCTCAGTTGCACAGCTAACATTCAAGCGCTATTTCCTTCACTACCTAAACTAAAACTAAATTTGAATACGGAAGGATATTAATGTTTGAGGCCTTGCACCCTATGGTTAAATCTGGAATCATTTTGAGCGATTTTTGTAGGAACAGGCGACATATGTGATTTTTTAAAACCATTTTAGGATACATTATTCCTAGAGCAGCCCAGAATTAAACTTCTTTTACTGGAAATTGATACAGGACCATTAGCAGGTTTATTTATATTGATGATGGGATCTTAAGTAGTCATGCTCAAGCTTAATTAGACGTAACTACTGATTTATTCAAATATTACTACCAAATCCCATTCGCAGAATCCATTATTATAATCGTATTAACACAAAACCCACATTCAAATTTCAGCGTGTTAGCCCTAATGCACAATATATCGCTGCTGATATTATACAGGGTGCGGCAGAGAGGACGGACGTGTTTGGGATGGGTAGTACTCTCCGCCGTCTACGAGAGAGGTGAGGAGGGTGCCGTTTGACTCGTGAGATCCTAGCATTATTTTACCAGTTGTCGTTATGGAGCCTTGGACGGTGGAGCACCGCGTTTTCGCCTATGATTGTTTCGTCCGAAATAATGAGTCGGTCATCGTCGTACAGCGTGAGTTTCGTCGCCACTTCAACATTCATCGGAATAGAGCTGTTCCCTCTCGAAACACCATCCTTCGTTGAGGTGAATCACTTCGTAGGCGTGGTGAACTGATCAACAGAAGACCAAGAGGAGCGCCGCGAACAGTTCGAACTCCTGAAAATGTTGAACGCGTTCGACAGGTCTTTCTTCGCAGTCCGACCCGATCTGCACGGAAACATGCTGCTACACTTCGCCTTAGTGTTCGTTCGGTAAGACGAATTTTTTTTTTTCTCCGCTTTCACCCCTACAAATTGGCCATTGTGCAATAGTTACAGCCCGGAGATTATGCACAACGAATGAACTTCGCAGGTGAGATGGAAGCACTGATCGATCAAAAGGAGAAACTCATTTTGTTTATGAGTGACGAAGCCCACTTTCACCTAAACAGCATGGTTAACCAGCAGAATTGTCTTTATTGGGCTAATGAAAATCCACAACAGTTACACGAAAGACCGCTGCACAGCCCAAAAGTATCGGTTTGGTGCGCTGTATCGCAAACTTGCATCATTGGCCCTTACTTCTTCGAAGACGGTAATGGTCGTGATGTTACCGTGAACTTAGAGCGCTACGTCGACATGATCACCAACTTCTTTCTCCCTGAATTACGCCGGCGATGTGTTCCAATCCGACGTGTGTGGTTCCAGCAGGATGGGGCAACCGCCCACACAGCCTGAGCATCCATGGACGTTATTCGCCCTCTCTTCCCTGGTCACCTTATTTCCAGGTTTGACGATGTTCATTGGCCTCCTCGGTCCCCAGATTTATCCATATGCGATTTTTTCGTATGGCTAGAGTATACGCGAACAAGCCCCGGAATCTGGACGAATTGAAGGGCGAAATTCGCGTGGAAGTCGCCTAAGTTGAGAGAGCGATGTTGGAGAGAGTCTACGCGAACTTCCAAGAACGCCTCCAGCACTGCATCAACGATTTCGGCCACCACGTGCCTGATGTAATTTTCCATACTTAAGTGTCTCAAATGCTATTTCCTTGTGAACCTGATTCCATCAATAAATTTGTTTTCGAGTAAAAATGAACTATTTTATGATTTTTTTAAAACTGTCCATCCTCTCTGCCGCACCCTGTACATATCTAATCATCATAGAGACTTAGAAAAACGCAGTAGAATTTCAGCAATCTGTCTCACTATTTCCAATATCAGGTATTCCGCCACTGCTGCTGTTTGATGAACATAATTTTTCCTACCCTTCACCTTCAAAAATCACAAATTAAGCAGAATTGATCATATGTTGTACCCTTAATACATATCAACATTCTCTTCTTTGCCTTATTTAATAAAACAATAATACTCACATCGCAACATAGATATTATTGTTGATCTGCTGTCCGTCAGTACACCCAGTAGGATTGGCACCTTAAATATCCTCTCTAGAGAAAAAAAAATGTACGCTGATGTATTGGTTTGTTACTTTGGTATGCAATGGTAGGAAAATTAGCCAAACATGTGCACTAAAATGACACAATTTTGTCGAAAAATAATTCGATGTAAATAAATACTCTCGGCTCTTTTTAATCTATTCGAATTTGTTGGTTTTAGACAATGTATTCATTTCAATGAACTGCGTTGTTATTTTGGGCAATTCCATCTTACTAATGGATTTATTAATCGTCGTATAATACAATTAAATTCTCAACATAAAGGTGGAGCGATGCGTAAACGAATAATGTTGAATGGAATTTAATCTTACGAATCAACACTGAAAGCACAGTGAAGTTTAATTTGCAGGATGTTAGGAGAAGTAATCAAATCCGGCTAAGTGTAAAGTTAATTTGTAGGCTTCGCAACACTTTTGAATCTGCTTGCTCAGCTGAAATTGCTAAGATGCAGTGCTGATAACATACTGGGGCTGACATTATCTGGACATATACATATAGCGAATCATTCCTCATGGTTTCGAAAAAAAAAATGTCGGTATTCCGACGGAGAGGGTTGAAAGTCACTCAAAAACAAAAATCTTCATTCTAGCAGCGCTTTTTCTCAGCAGATCAGTTGAGCTGTTACGCTTAGATTGTGAGTAATCCTTCATCCCGGCAACATTTATATTTTTAGTGTGGCATTTGCCAGTACGATACTCTATTAGTGTCCTCGTTGTGGCTTTGTGACACGAGAGTCAGCATTACCAGTCTGCTATCTATGCAGATCGTAATACTTTTGTATCAACTTCACACCCGCGAAAAGCAATGTAATAACAATGTATTTTATCATGAATTGCTCTTAGCATTGAGCAAGGTGATACAGTTTATGAATAATATGAGAATATTAACATATTTACAATTTTATAGGGTGACACTTAATGATAGGCCGTAATTACAAGGGCACATTCATAAGCCAATTTTAAGTAGAACAGTTGGTATATAAACATGTCTTAGAACGTATGGTTTCCATGATACTGGGTAAAACGTTTAAAAATAAAAGTTTTTGTATTAATACCAAAAATTTATTTTTCTAAAAGTAAGCAGAAAAAAATATGACTTTTTGTCTTTTGGTAACTCTTCTTATCTTCGTTTTCAAGGAAAAAATTACAATTCTATTGCATGTAGAAAATTTGTTAAAGTAGCATCAATTTAATTTAACATTGCATATAAGCCATTAATTTGTAAAACGTACGGAACGGCAACCAACAATAGTTTGACAAACTGTCCACAAAAACCTTTGGAAGTGGCTCTCATATTTTAACAATTTAGCGACATGTACATAATGAAGTTGCTCTAATTTTTTCCCACGAAAAACGAGGTAAGGTACGAAGTGTTACCTTGAGACAAAAAGTTGTATTATCGGCAGCTTCATCAGAAAAATAAAAAGTGCTGAGCATACTTTTGCCAATATTATTCTAAGACTGCCCCTAGATCTTTTAGTTAGTGCTAACTTAGCGTCTTATTGCAATGAGTAACACTGCTAAAAGTCAACAAAATATTCAAAAGGATCACTGTGATATGCATTTTTAGAACACATGATCATTGAACTTTTCTACCTAAATTTGGTTCAGGAATTAACCCTTGTAATTACATCCAATCGTTAAGTCATACTTTGTATAGTTATTACTGACCCACATATAGTAGAATAAAATAAAGGATAAAGGAAAATTTTTGACGCTAAATCCATTATTCTATCTCTAGTTGCTGGGAAGAAGTGTGCTGTCAAATTTTGGTATATTTTTTAGACAACATTCGTAACAGCTCCCAAATTTATACTCAAAACCTATCAGCATGGTGCACCAATATTCTTCTTTTCAAATAGTCTACCCAAAAATGTTACAAAATATATTTCAAAACATGCAACTTTGATGTTTAGCTTAATATTGCGACACCCTGTATAATTGTGGATGTATTAAAAACGTCTTCCATACAGCGTTTTTCTAAATGTTTAAGTCTGGGAGCAAAACTCCCTCGATGCATGCTAGGACGATCCTGTAAATCACGAACGTATGCTTTTTCATAGTCAAAATCCCAATACAAAACCAGAAGAATATTGGAAGCATTTGTTTAGAAATAGAAAACTAAAATGTATCGAGAAGACGTTCACTGAAAAGAAATTTAAAAATTTATCGGATGGATCTAACAGCAACTTTTAATTTACTATTATAATACAATAAGAAACACAAATCTAGAATTCTGAGCAGCTGCGATAATTAAAACAACCGCATTTTCCTCCACTCAAATGTGTTTGTCCAAAAGAAAGAAAACAGTTCACTTGGTTTTTGCTCTGGAGGCGATAGCTTTCAGGAAATACCACATAATGTGAGAATTTTCCGCCCCACGCCTGCCTGGCGCATATCGCTATTCCTGTTATACATAGTATCTTGAAACCTCAGCTACTTCAGAAATTGCTACAAGGAGACTGGATGACTCTATAGCAGGTTTCAGGTGTGAGGTATAGGAAATATTTAGAAATGATAATTTTTGGAAGCTACGTGTAAAAGACATAAAGTGTAGAAGGCTATACAGATAACTATGAAGGTCGTTACCTACGTCATTTAATATAAATTCCCATAAAATTGATGAAACCAATTTTAATTTACATTATATCACCGATTTTTTTCCGGGTTATTATAAGAACATGATGGCTTGCAAGAGATATAACCCAGACAGCGCAGTAAGTGAGGAACTAAATTTATACTACGGCTGGGAGATAAAGTATATTTCATGAATAGGTTTTCAGGGCGTCCACGTCTAGCCTCAGGGTGGTGAAGTAACTCTAGAGCCCACCTTATTCAAATTGACCTCTGCTTATCGATTACCAAAGTATTTATTTCGTGCTAGGCAACTGCTTCAATAACCACTACCTAGTATTTGTAATTTATTTGGTTCAGTTTATTCATTTTTGTCTTCACTGAAACTAAATTAATTTTTCAGTTACCCTATAACCAGTCATAGCTAAACATGTGTTTGTATCTCGGGCGTAATTAGCAGGTGCGTTTGTTGATAAGAAGCAACATTCGATTTCCAATGTGTTTTCCATGTGGTAACTCATTACTAGAATACGACTGAAGCTCATAATTTTGGTGAACGAGTTCAAGAACAATAATTGAAATAATTTTCAACAGGTGCTAAGGAATATATGACCCCACTGTCTGACCGAATCAAACCACTTAGTTTCTCTTTATTGGACGTTTGTGCTACGAGGGTGGCGCTTCTCTACACAGTCCAGCAAGTTCGCAAGCATAAAGGGCTGCGGCTCGCATAATTACAGAAATCAAATACCTTTGGACCATTAGCATTTTTTACCTTTTTGCTTTGTCTCTTCCTTCTGTCATTTTCTTCCCTTTTTTTCCTTAACATTGTCTGGTTCCTGGATGACTAGACCAGACAGACTTACAAACTGACAATATGACACACCACCTAAGGTCATAAGGACTGCTCTGATAACCAACGTTGACCTGTCTTGGGTGATCTTTTGCAAGTACATTGACAATCAATGAAAGTACATTTTTTTCTTGCAGCTAACAGTTCATTAATTGTTTCTTTTATTCATTCCTATGGAACGTCAGAATGTACATTGTAAGAAATAATATAATTGTACCGGTCAGTTTGTTTTAAAATTTTTTTTCTTGTACAGTATAAGTTTATAAACGTTTCACGGAATCGGGTAAGTATGCAAGTACGCCAATGCGTAGCTGTTTTTGTATTCGTATTTCAAATGGAGTTTGTAGGGTATGCATCTTCTTCAACAATGCCAATAAGTATTTAAGTTTTATTACGACAATCCCACATGCGTCAAAAAAGAATGGCGGTTACAGGAGTTATCGGCTTATTTCAGAAAATACTTTGACATAAAATTTTCTACATAGGTGCCTTTCTGGTATATGGTTGGAAAACGTTTATCTACTTCAGCTGATTTCTTTGATACTATTTTTATTCATACGCATCGGATTATTACAAGATTTTTCTAATTCCAACATAATACATTAAAAACTGATCAAAACCAATTGCACGGGTGTTATTATAGCAATTTTTTTATAACGCAGCCCGCAGCTTTCATTAACTAAAACATTCGACTTCGGCATGGACTGAAGGTTGTGTTAAAAACCGAACATCGGCTTTGACTACAGTTTCTGTCAAAAAATTTACCTTCGGTCGGACCCTACTGAATCATAGGTTTGTTTGTAAAAAATGTTTTGGCTTACTTATTAATACACAGAAGTGTTCCGATCGCGACACTAGTATTTTAATAACCTTATTTACGTTTCAGGCTGACTTCAAGAACATCAGAGTATATGGGGGCGATAAGTTCGTGGTAAAGAAATTCGACCTCACTGTCAAAGACAAATTCCACTTCGATCTGGACTTGTATTTGAACGACCTGAGGATAATCTGCGATTACAAGATTGACGGAAACATCCTGGTTCTAAGGCTCAACGGTCATGGACTTATGACCGCTAATATGAGTAAGTATAAATACTATGCAATTTACTGAAGGTAACCCACACTACTTACTATATGTATGACTATGGTCAGATCGGAAACACCCCAAACTGGTTCTTATATGTGCCTTGTGCAGAATAAGGAGGTTATTTGGAGAAGGGGACCTGCTGAATTATCACAAATAACCCAACTTTTTCCTAGCAGCAGTCGCTTTCAACGAGATAATTATGTTCCAAAACGAATAGCTCCTTGGCAGAACTCGGCCATCCACCGAAATCGGATGTACGATAGGGCGATTCTTGCTAGTCAAGGTGCAGTTTTGTGTTTTGGAAATGTATCAGACTGCCACAATGAATGTCTGCGTAAAAAGTGCTGTCACCAACAAAGCACTGAATCGGATTGGTCGTACAAGAGAGGAGGTCGTTGATATCCAACAGAAACAGCATTGGAACTAAGATTTCCAAAAACTGAGCCTTCATTCATTCATTCCAAAACTACATTGTATCAGTCGCCTGTCATAGAACGTGGTATTACCAGCAAGTTATGATACTTAGTGATGCCATCCAGTGAGTTAATACCTTAAAACCATCTAAAAATGCTACGGCTATGTCCAGTCATACAACTATTAGTCCAATCATATTAGCAAATTTCCCCGAAGTAAAGTCTGGTTTTATTGGTGCAAGTTGTTCAAGGGAGTATTTAAATCAACGCATAAAATGGGTACACTAATTTTTGTCGGAAAACTTTTTATTTGACAACAAAAAATGAAACGGCGTGTTTTTTGGGATGCAAACTAGTGTTGACAGGAAACAAAAAAATTTTCATATAAGATTTTTAGGTATTTATGAGACCTACAAAATGAGACGACACGTAAAAAGATCCGACTAATAGCAAAAATCTTATCGCCGGAAAACGAGGCTAAATGCAGGTTTTGGCACTTGTTGGTAATGCGGCGATAATTTCACGCAACTTCTTGAAATTGTTCAAATCTCTAGGATTCGTACTTCTAAATAACAACAACAAAATTGGATTATATTGGTCAAGTAGTTTTTTGAGTATCTCTGTTTAACCCAAAACACCTGTTTTCCGGCCATCACTACTAGTTTATTGAGCAATATACAGGATTCGGTCAAAGAGCAAATAGCAAAATACACGTGTTTAGCTTGTCGATATGAATCACAAACCATTCCGAAAAATAAACGTTATCATTATGCGAAAAACGAAGTTTACATTTTTCCTTCTAAACAAATTCAAATCTTTCGTATTTTAAAACAAAGCGAATGTGTCTATTATCTTTTGAAACGAATTATTCACAAACACGACATGTTTGAATTTGTTTAGAAAAAAAAAAACGTAAACCATCCTTTTTGCATAGAAATAACATTTATCTTCCGGAATGGATTGCGATTCATACCGGCAAGGTAAACTAGTGTATTTTGCTATTAAATGCCGTTTGAATGGACTCTGTATGTTGCTTGATAAACTGTAGTGATGGCCGGAAAACAGGTATTTTGGGATAAACAATTAGAAATTCTCAAAAACTATTTGCCTAATCTACTCCAATTTTGTTGTGGTTATTTGAAAAATTTCAACTATCTGCGAGAAACCATCGTCGCATTACCAACAAGTGCCAAAACCTGCATAACGGCCATAACTTTTTCGTTATTAGTCGGATCTTTTTATTATTTTGTAGGCCTCATCAATACCTAAAAATCTTATTTGAAGAGTTTTTCCGTTTCTGCCAAAACTTTTAATTGAAACCCAAGAAACACGCTTTCTCATTCTTTGTTGTCGAATAAAGAGTTTTTCCACAAAAATTGGTGTACCCATTTTATGCGTCCATGGTTTGAATACACCCTTGAACAACTTGCAGCGATAAAACCAGACATTACAATTATTTCGCAAACCAGGGGTATTTTCATCTAATATGATTAGACTATATGTAAAAGACTGTAGCAGAGGTCAGGGTATATATTCACTACTTCCATTTCGATAGAATTGGGTTTTCTTAACCTGTAAAAAGAGAACCGGAATACATTATTCTCCAAGTTTATTTTATGCGGAACTGTTATTGCCTCGACTTCCTATCTTTTGAAGAGCTATCGGAAAAAGGAGGAACTCTACGACCAGCAGACAGTTTATTATTCTTGGAATAAGGTACATAAGTGACTAAGTGTACAGGGTTCATGAAAAGCGATCCTTAAGACACTCTCAAGTAAATGCGAAAAACATTAACGTGAATAGTTAGGGGGTCTGTTACGCGTTTTGTCTGTTATACCTTTTACCCAAAGTCATAGGGCTATGAGGTTTAAGCTTTAGAGAGAATAGGCAAATCATTTACAGAAAGTTAAACAAACATTCCAAGAGTATCTTTTTGTACCATCCTAATACTATTTTATCAAGGACTCCGCTCGAAACTAGTTGTTTTTGAAATACATTTTTGAGAGCAAAGTGATGGGTTGAAGCCTCATCTGTTGGTATCCGTGAAATATAATTAATCACTAGGAACAAACAAGCCCCAATGAAAAACTTTCCTAATTTTTTTACACATTGTAAGCTCTTGTGATGTCAGTCAAAATTGTTATTATTGGAAATCCTCAACCAGTTTATTGTATTTCTGTTTGATTTCCATAAAATGAGCTCTTTTTGACTAAAACAGACTTGTTTCAGTTTTGCTGTCCACCCCTTACAATAACAATTCGGACATACCGATTCCGCAATTTTTCTAACTAATTCATGAAATAAATTAATAAATTGTCATCAGAGCAGGCTTTAGGATTTTGTCCGACTCCTTTCAAATTGATTGTAGTGTAAATCGATAGGAGTAGAACTGAAACAATTTTTTGTCTCAAAAACGGTTCATCTCATCCAGATCACGCAAGTATGCATATTGCAATATTGAGCCATGTTTACACAGGATGTAAAAGCATTAAAAATATTGCATTAGGGTAAGTTCGTCTGTGATGATATAAATCAGTTATTTGTTTTCCATAGACACAATCATGCGAGGTCTCAGCTTATTACTGGGCCGTCAAAACTATGTTGAAATATAAAACATTGTCGAGAATTTAAGAAAAATTATTAAACGTACAGAAACTGCAGCATATTTGGAATTCTGGTTTGTTTTTTGGAAAAAAATTGCAAGATAAACGAGCCAAATAAAAAGGCATTAAACTATCGGGAAATTATTAAATTTTAATGATATAAACAATCAAACAAAACAAAAACGAGGAGCCCTAACAAAATGTTTATCAAAATAAAAAACTCCAAAAGCGTAAATTTACTTAGGGTGCAGGTATAATTAATATATAAATAAATTATAATCACCTTTTTTTGACAATTGTTTTCACTTTTTCTGAGAAACTAATTAATTTCTAAACTTTGTAACCGTTTTACAGTCTTTGGTAATTAATCTGCTTAACAAAATAGCTTAATATTATTATATATTATAATTATTCATTGTTATTAAGTAGTCAGTCACAATTATCACAAATCAGTATTTACCCTGTACTGTTACTGTTCTTACATTAATCACATATATACACACCGGCTTCATAACCACTAAACCACTACAAGCAACGTGAACCCACAAATCGCAGAGTAAGCAGTGTACCTATTCCAAATGAACAAAATGACATTCTAACGTAAAATTCCATGTCACATTTTTAATTCTAAATATATTCACAACATCAAAATAAAATTGTAAACTAACAAAGACACATAATAGTTTTACGTATCGTAGTAAGTGATTATAAATTATTGGATTTTTACTGAAAAAGTTTTGAAAGTAGACGTCTCGTTCCCGTGGGGCCGGAAAAGGAAATATCAAGATGGAGTCCTGTTTTTAGAACTTGTGATGTTGTGTAACTTCCGAAATTATATAAATGGCAAAGAAAGATAGCGTTTACATTTATTTAGATAACTAAATATTCCAAGTTACCTGCAGTATCCCAAATATGTCACACTCCCTCTAACATCAGAAACTTTCATGTGGATTACATGTCGATACTCCTCCATGCTGGTCTGGTCAATAAAATATGTATTGACATAATCTGCTTAACTGTACACGATTCAGTCGCAAAGATGGACCACTTTTGTGATTGAAAAGTAGAAAATGTAAGGCTAAGTAAATTTGCGGAAGAAAGCACAAAACCACCCGAACTCAAGTTCAATATACGCAACTGAAACCTGAACACTTTCTGAAAAAATTGCGTCGTCGTGGTAATACTTCGTCCAGGTACGTCTGGATCGTACTGCGATACAAAAACAGTGTTGTGAACCAGCTAGAAGAGATGATAAGAACATGAATGAATATCAAACACCCAAAAACACCGTGTATCTATCCCAACATATGCTGTAATATGGAACTTTGGACACTTTTGTTCTACATCATACCAAATTTGAAAATAACGGCCAAAAGCCATTCTCTATACAGGGTCCGTCAGAAAGAACTCATGTTTCTTAAATGAGTAGTACAGTCAAAATAAGTATGGGAAAAATATTTTATTATATCAAAATATTCAGAAATACACGCCATTTTTTGAGTAAAACAAAATCTACTTTCTAAAAACTATGTCGGCCATATAGCGCCCTTTGAGCCGAAATGCAGGAATCAAGCCTTTCCGGCGATATTCCATGGCCCCCTCGCTCCCCGGACCTGTCATCGTGTGCAATCAAAAGTTTACCAAAGCAAGCCTTGGACCCTCGTCGATTTTAGGAGGAAATAAGAAGAGTAACTCAAATACCTGCACGGATGCTGGCCGACGTAATGGGCTCATTTCGGGAGAGGCTTGATTCCTGCATTTCGGCTCAAGGGCGCCATATGGCCGACATAGTTTTTAGAACTTAAATTTTGTTTTACTCAAAAAATGGCATGTATTTCTGAGTATTTTGATATAATAAAATATTTTTCCCATACTTATTTTGACTGTACTACTCATTTAAAAAACGTGTTCTTTCTGACGGACCCTGTATGAGGTTCTTACGTGATCTTTTAAGCATGTACATGAAACTAATGTAGATATCGTGAAACTTGGTGTTTTAGAATATAATCCGCAGCCTGCTGCATCTTCTTTAGATACGCAGAATGAAAAATATCTTTGACGATCTAGTTTACAAAATTATAAATATTATACTACGGAAGGAATACCAAATAGCATCAGTACGTTGGGGCTATTTCCACCATGTGGAACGGAGCAAGGCTCATATTTCCCTAAAACGTAGCTATCCTCAAGAATATGAAACATACAACGGTGTTCGAAAATCATCCAAAGAAAGCTATATTTCTGTATATTTCTGTATCATTCTTTATCGCTCATTATGTCTGTACGGAATCATCAGCTTGTTCTAGCAAAATGTTTAGTCCATACCCTTTTTCGGAATATTCAGTAGAAATACTTAAACGAGAATTAGTGCCGACCCTGTTAGAACAATCTTACTAGTTCTGTGCATTTATAACTACAAAACACTTATTTTGGCACACGTTTTGTTTTGAGAATTTCATTGATAAAAGATTGCGAATTTCTTGATGGTAATGAAATGGAAAACACAGTAGTACAATGCAAATGTACAAAAAACGGAATTCTCTGCACTTTATGTTAAATTTTTTTGGTTTCAAATGTAGACCATAAAACAATAATACAATTCAAACAAGCATAAGCGTAAATGGGAAAACAAGACAACAAAAATGTTCCCACCATCCGCTACTCTGACGCTTGACTTTCACCTGCGTATGTCTAAACTTGTCTATACCATAACTGTCCTTATTCTAATTCAAAAACATTATTTCCAAGTCACAAATTTGTTAGGAACAAAGATGCTGGAGCAACATATATCAATGAAATAAACCAGAACATGAATTGCTGAAACCACCTGAAATCCACTTGCTCATTTACTTTTTAACATGTTCAATGCCTGTGCCGGAACAATGCTCTTCTACGAAGGTTGATCCAGAAATAGGGTTCCCAAAGAGCTCAGCTACAATGAAAGGCGCGAGGTGATTCCTGGTAACTGGCACGACTGTTCTCCAACTTTCGGTTCCCCCGGTATTCTCTCAGCAACCTTCCGATATAGAGGTTCCCACTGTTCATTTCGCCAAGTGCGAGAATCGTTTCAATAATTCACTTTCTGTTCGGGATGTATCGCGACAAGTGTATGTCCGTTTGACACATTTAGAAGTGGTGCAGTGACCTTAGTCTCGAACAGAAGGAGGTTCACGATGAAGAACGGAGTGGAAGACTGTTAATCTCGGAGGCGGTTCTCGAGATCTATAGCGAAATGGGACAGAAAGATCAACCTCTGTGAAATCTGAGCAACAAGCACATGGACGATGATTCTCCTGTTTTGGAGCACTTTGTGTTGGACCATCTCAATACTCGCTTCTGAGACTGACTTTCGCCCTTCGTTCCTCATCGTTTATTTCCTTCTGACCGGCACTAAACTCTCTACACCACTTTCAAAACGTGTTGAACAGCAGACACTGATATAAAAACACCTCTGTCAGCTGACTACGAATATCCACGGGTGGCGTGCAAAAATTGAACGAATCTTTGTTCTTGGTGGGATCAAAAATGGGAAGCTCAATATTGAACAGCTGCTGAGCCAAGAATGAGAGGCATAGCAAAGAGTGGCCGTGGGGAATCAAAAGTGGAAGAACAATTGCACGCAGCGGTGTTGTCAGATTTCGCCTTGCATCTTCCAGTGTCGGTGGAACTTTTTTTTGGATCAACCCTCCTACCTTTATCTTATCTAAAATCATTCTACATTCTATCTGGATTCTATTTACAGCTGACATAGTCGTCCACGTTTCCACCGACGGAAAAATGTATGACAAGAACGGCAAACAACATGTAAGCTTTACCAACTCCCAAGTGGATAACTTGGTGATCAAAAAGGCGCGCTTCCAGCTAGACAACATTTTCGGAGACAACGAACAGCTGAACGTGCAGACCAACCAGGTGCTGAACGACAGCTCGGAAGAGTTGATTAAAGAACTGACACCTGTCATCACCTCTGTCACCAGGGATATAGTCTTCGGTATCGCCGAGAAAACGCTGCAGAGGTATACCTTTGATGAACTGTTCCCGCAGTAAATGAAACCTTTGTGCAAGTATTCATTTCGTGATTGTTGCTAGGCTATACATTTTTTCAGGAATTGTTGATTTTCAATATGAGATAATGAGAAGCAAACTTATGTGAGTTAGGTTTATTGTTTTGTAATAAAATTTGTAAATTGAATCGAATGCGTATTTTTATTTTATCCTCACATCCCTTACTCTACTAGACCAGGCAAGCAATCTATTGTTTCGGGCATCGGTATCACTATCTATGGTTGCGGTATGGATTTTGATTTAGTGGAAGACAACTTTGTGTTTCATCCATTGTCGCCTGTGAAACTCCTTTGTACCTACCAGCCAGTCTTTCAATACAGCAACACATGCTGTCGCGTCACGTGACTCACGAGATATTACGCATAGTCAGATATCAAAATGTAAACTGATTGACTATAAGCTTTACCAACTACCAAGTGAATAACTTGGTCATCAAAAAGGCTCGCTTCCAGCTAGACAATATTTTCGGAGACAACGAACAGCTGAACGTGCAGACCAACCAACCAATTTGTGACTGTTGCTAGGCTATAAATATTGTAAACCAAGAATTGTTGATTTACAATATTAGGTAACGAGAATCAAACATAGTGACTTAAGTTTATTGCTCTGTTAAAAAAATTGTAAATTGAATTAAATACATTTTTTCAATTTATCCTCACATCACTTACTCTACTGGACCAGGTAAGCGAACTGTTAGTTCAGTCAACCGTATCCCTATCTATGGTTGAGTTATGGTGTTTTGATTTGGTGGAAGACAACTTTGGGTTTCATTCATTGTCGGATGTGAACCTCCACTGTACCAGCCAAACATTCAATAAAGAGTCACCGCGTCACTTGAACTCACAAGCTATTTATGCGCAATGATATCAAAATGTAAATTGATGGACTGATAAGCATGACGCACAATGATGTATTTCTAAATATGTTGTATTTCTAAATATGTATTCTTCATTGCGTAAGCGGGGATCCAGATATTTGGAGATTACGCATTTAAGCTCGAGAATCTCAGTGAAAGCTCGGGAGCTCATGAGACATGAAACTAATATTATGTTCTCGCTCATCCCGAAGAGTAGCAACAGATCTTGTCCAGTAAGCAAATAATCAAGAATTTGACAAGTTACAATTCACACAAAAATAATTTGTTTTAAGGGACTAGTACCTTTGTCATCCAGTTTATAGTTTTGTCGTATTGGTGATCAACTAATGCAAGAAATAACATCTAACGAATATGAATCTGACAAAGATTTTTTTTAATTGATGATGGGATAACAAGCTGTGAATATGAATTTACTGGAAAGCAATCTGGATCAAATATTAGTGGCGTCGATAGATAATATGCTGCATCCAGAATATGTTTACAATATATTAGCTTAATGCGGACTTAGGAATACGAGTATGTCTAGGGCAGGGGAAGGGTTGCAGCGGTGGTGTAGCATTCATGTTCGTCTTGGGGGATCACTAATTGAAAATTGAAGAGCGGTGGGTGGGATACGTCTAGGAGGGGGATTGTTACGTATCTCGATTCAGGTCTATCAAGGTATTTCTTGCACCAAGATACAGCAATGGCAGATATGTTGGTCCAAACCAGCCATTGATATTAGTTCTGTGATAGTGATTGTTAATAAATCAGTGGGAACAATCAAAGTTTGCCATGTTAGGGGGAGTCCGGGAGATTTGACCAGGTGGGAGATATGCTCCACACCGCATAAATTATTTTGAATTTCGCGCGATTTAGATCACTGACAGGCCGCTGCATGCCTACTCGATGCTTGTCACACGCACGGCGCCATATTGGCTTCTAGCAAAACGGTTCTACAGTTAGCGAAGGAAGCACGTGTTTGGTGCTAAGAAGTTAGAAATTAGAATATTTTGAGTTTTGACGCCACGTCTTTAAATAATCAGGTATGAAATGACCTTAATATTAGTTAGATTACTAAATCATTCTAGTTTTGAGAACCAATTGTGTTTTATTCCTCAGCTTAAACTAATTTCCGTAATTTTTAAATCGAGTAAGCTAGGTCGGGTTAGGGAGACTTGACCCATCATGCCTAGGGAGATTTGCTCAGTGGTTCAAATGTCCCTTTGTTGTGTCCGACAAAAAGAGAATCGTTTCAACTCTTTTTTTCAGATATGCCGTTTCAATACAAGAGCAAATGCAGTTCATCTCGTAAAAAACTTATAAAACAGGAGCTGCAAAATGCTATTGCAGATGTGAAATCTGGTGCATCTCTGAGGAAAACAGCTATCAAGTATGGGATAAACAGGACGACTTTACGTCGGTACACAAAAAATGAAGAAAAACTGAGAGTTTTTGATGAAAAGGGTAGTTCGCATAAGGCTTCTCAGATTTTCACAATTCTAGAAGAGAGACTGCTGGTTGGATATTTAATAAACTGCAGTAAAATGAATTATGGTCTTACTCGTGTAATAATCAAAGGGTACCTACTACCTACTACACTGTAATAATAAAAGGGTACCTACTACCTACTACCTATACTATAGAAGTCTTGGGCCATCCAAAAAACAGTTGACCGTCGCAATATCCAAGGCGGACGAGTCCAAGTTCGCTGATCGGAGGGCAGTCGAATATCTGCATTGAAGCGGTCCAGTGGTTGTTTACTTTTGGTTTCTCGGCTTTATATTATACGCAATTTCTTTTTTTAAATATAAAAGCGATTCCTTGAGTCTAGTGTTTTTACAGATTCAGGTGCGGGGTAAAGATACCTACCTGCCTACGTAGTGCCTCGAAACTTTTGATAGAGACAATTAGTGATTTAATTAGGAAAGTTAAAGCTGTTACGAAAAGTCTTTAACGAACTTTCATTGTCGTTATTGTGTTTTTTTTTTCTATATACACATCATAAACATTAGTGTTAAAACGCAATTTGTGGCTCTAGTGAATCAACAGGTGCCTGTGTTTTGGATAACCGCTGACAAGGTACTTTTTATGACTGTTTATCGAACTGCCATTATTATTAATGGTAAATTTTATTAGATTTACTGAATAGGTTGTTACGAAAAACCTATAGATAGACAGTTATCGTTTTTGTTTTGGGTTGTTAGGAAAAACCTATATCTATATATAGGCAGACATTTCAATTGTCCCAAGATGGGCAAACATAAGCGTAGCCGAAGTAGTTCTAGTAGCAGTAGCAGTAGTAGTTCTGCTTCAAGTAGCTCATCATCAAAAACAAATAGAAAGGGTCGTTATGATAAGTCAACTTCTGAATGCTCCAGAACTGATACTCGATATAACAAGCGGTCAAAATCGGCGCAATCACCATCTAAAAATAGCGCAGAAAAACGACAAATGGTGCGTAGCACAGTACATAGAACCACTAGCATGCCAAGAGACTGTTCGGGATATCCATCTGATATTTTAGTGCATGTGCCGAATAGTGCAGCTACTGTCACCAGCGAAGAGATCAGAAATAGTGATTCTTACACCCCGATTTTTCGACAGTTAGGCACGTCGAACTTACAGAGTACCCGAATAGGATCGAATGATACTATTGACAACTCAGTAGGACTACAACAATCAGAAAAATCAGCGTATGAAGATCGAATAAAACGCTTGGAACAGCAAGTTGAAAATTTGACAAAACAGAATTCATCTGAAAGTCCTAAACTAACACTAAGAAGTGACTGTATTCCAGAATTTTGCCGTGAAAATGAGAACCTGTCAGCAGCAAAGTGGCTAGAAAAAATAGACCAATTGAAAAATATTAATAGATGGGATGACGTCACGACAATTTACCATATGCAATCACGGTTAGCTGGCATGGGAAGAACTTGGTATCACAGCTTAAATTCTTTAAACTACACATGGTTAGAATGGAAAGAACTAATCATAAAAACATTTCCAGACCACATTGATTATGCGAAGGCCTTACGGAAAATGCTGGAAAAAACAAAATCGCATAACGAGTCTATGACTGCATATTACTTTAGTAAAATGGAATTAATAAGAACATGCCAAATAGTAGGCAAAAACGCTGTTTCCTGTTTGATAGATGGGATTACTGACATAAATATTCAGAATGCAGCCCGTGCGGGTCGTTACGAAATACCCGAAACACTTTTTGAGCAATACCTATCTATGTTGCGTGATGAGAGTTCACATCAGTTGCACAGTAATAAACCGGAAACGATTACGAAGAGGCATAACAAACCAGACTTGCGCAATGCTATTTCAAAAAAATATAAACCATACCACAGAGAAGATGTTATGTGCTACAATTGTAAACAAAAGGGACACTACCAAGCAAGCTGCCCAAAAAGCCGAAAAGTTTGCAGCAAATGCAATTTATTAGGGCATGAGGCTGATCAGTGCCGAACAGGTCAAGGGAAACACGCAGGCTTGCAAACTAAAGGTAAGCTTCATCCTATTCTAAGTTTATCTTCTAATCAACCGGTAAGCACTTGCTATTTTATTGATTGCATTATTAATAACGAGCCCCTTAGAGGTTATGTAGACTCAGGATGCGCCGCGGTAACAATTAGAGAGACAAACGCGAAAAATCTCAAGTTACCACTTACACCAGCATCTGTCCGTTTGTGTGGGTACGCTGGGGGGTCCGTCGTTGCCAACTGGAAAACAAAAATTTACCTAACTGTAGATCAAGCATCTGCTCACGTAGATGCGTTGATAGTCCCTGACCAAGTACAGGAAGTACCGGTTATAGTTGGACAACCTTTTGTCAATAATGAAAGTGTTACTGTGGTTGTTAGAGGCAATCAAATTCGACTCTACGACCAAAATTTGATAAAAATAGGGACATTGGACGAGTTTTTGTCAAAAAAGGTAGAGCTTGTGTCAGCTGAAACAACAGTCATACCACCTAATTACATGGGTCATATTGTTATTAAGCAAGACGAAAGCGTGAGGGATGTTTTCGTAAACTTGCAGACTAGGGATTGGTCAGACAATTGTCATGTAATTTTACCTTGTATTCTAAATTTAGAAAATAGTTTTTGCTGCGTGCCTGTTATGAATCTATCGAATAAACCTGTCTGTTACGAAAAGAATAGAGTTATTACGAGAGGTTGGACATGTTACGAAAATGTTGAACCATCAGAATCCTTGATGTGTTTACAAACAAGCACTACTCATCTTATCCCTATTACATTAGACGATGTGAAAGGTTTAATAAACCCACAGTTAAATGAGGTAGATCGAGCTAATTTGCTTCAATTAATTAACAAATATCGAGACTGCTTTGCCTTAAGTCTTAACGAAGTCGGTAAGACTGATGTAGCTGAGCTGGAAATAAAGCTGAATGATGACCAACCCATCACTTATCGACCTTATAGGATGCCTTATATAAATCGAGAAACAGTCCGAGATATAGTGCGGGACCTTTTGGCAAATAAGATAATACAGGAATCAGATTCACCCTATGCCAGTCCCATTCTCCTTGTTAAAAAGAAAAATGGGGAGGAGCGAATGTGCATAGATTATAGGGCTATTAACAAAAAAACAATTAAAGATAAGTATCCGTTACCTAGGATTGATGATCTTTTGGATAATTTGTCAGGGGCAACATTTTTTACATTAGATTTAGCCTCTGGTTACCATCAAATTCCAGTAGAAAAAGAATCTGTTCCTAAAACCGCATTCGTGACGCCAGACGGACACTATGAATACCTGAGGATGCCATTTGGTTTGGTTAATGCTCCTGCGGTATTCCAGAGGGCCGTAAATAAAATATTAGGTCCACTACGCCATGAAAATGCAATGGCTTATATCGATGACATTTTAGTTCCATCTATTTCAATTGAAGAAGGCTTGACGAGACTAGAAAATGTCTTAAAACTCCTCAGAGAAGCAAAAATGACTCTACGATTAAGTAAATGTCATTTTCTGCAATGTCAAATTGAATACCTAGGACATGAGATTTCTAGCGAAGGAATTAAACCAGGATCAGGAAAAATTAGGGCTGTAGCTGAATTTCCTATTCCTAAAACTGTCCACGAAGTTAGGCAATTTTTAGGATTGACAAGTTATTTTAGAAAATTTATCAAAGACTTTGCTCGCATTGCCAAACCAATATCTAGCCTTACCCGAAAAGATTCAACATTTACATGGGGAACAGAGCATAATGAAGCATTTGAAATACTTAAAAAGAAACTTGTTGAAAGACCTGTGTTAGCAATATACGATCGTAAAGCTAGAATTGAGGTACATTGTGATGCAAGCAAAGTAGGTTTAGGAGGAATACTTTTACAAGAGCAAAATGATGGCACTCTTAAACCAGTACAATATTTTAGCAGAGCTACAACAACCGAAGAACAAAAATATCATTCGTATGAACTTGAAACCTTAGCTCTGGTAGAAGCCTTGAGAAAATTTCGAATTTAACTAATAGGAGTAAATTTTAAAGTAGTTACAGATTGTAACTCTTTACGACACACATTGTTAAAAAGAGATCTTGTACCCCGGATCGCAAGATGGTGGCTTACCATCCAAGATTTTGACTTTAATATCGAATACAGAGTTGGTACAAAAATGAGTCACGTGGATGCTTTAAGCAGAAATCCAGTGAAAGATGTTCAAGATTTACTTAATATTCAAATTGTAAATATTGAAGAGAGTGACTGGATACTTTCTGCGCAACTCCAGGATGAAAAATGTAAGAACTTGATTGATGTTTTATCAAGAGATGCTAGTAATGGTGAAGAAAGACAGATACATAAAGAATTTTGTCTTAAAAATAACCATCTTTATCGTAAAACTCAACAAGGTAATCGTTGGGTCATTCCAAAAACAGCGCGTCGAAGAATTTTGCTGTATTATCATGATGACGCCGGACATTTTTCAGTCGATAAGACACTGGAGTCCATAAAGTCACGTTACTGGTTCTCATCAATGCGGCAATATGTTAAAAATTATATTAAGTCCTGTCTAGGATGTCTTTATAATAAAGCTGCAGGAGGTAAAATACCAGGAAGATTAAATCCTATTGAGAAGATACCTGTGCCTATGGATACTCTACACATAGACCATTTAGGTCCATTCGTTAAAAGCACCAAAAAGAATACCCATTTGCTGATGGCTGTTGATGGTTTTACTAAATTTTCATTTCTTAAGGCAGTACCAAATACAAAAACCGCTCCTGTTATAAAATTTCTCAAGGACATATTCGACATGTTTGGAGTATGTCGTAGAATAATCTGCGATCGTGGCACAGCTTTTACAAGTAAAGCGTTTAAAGATTTTTGTCTTGAGTTAGGAATCAAGCAAGTTTTATGTGCAACCTCCACACCACGGGCAAATGGACAGGTGGAAAGAATGAATCGAACCGTCCTTTCTGCTCTCATGTCTTCCGTGGTTGACGAAACACTATGGGATGAATCCATTAGTAAAGTTAAATGGGGAATGAACTCCACCATAAACACTACTACTGGAAAAAGTCCCTACGAACTATTTTTTGGTTACCGGCCAAGAAGTGTTACGGATGCTTTCTTGACGGCGGAAGTATGCATAGACGAGCATACTGATGCAAATCAGTTACGTGATTTAAATCAGTTACGAAATGAAGCCTCAGAAACGATGGCGGTTAGGCAGCGCTATCAGAAAATGTATTATGATAAAAAGCATGCTCCCTCAAAAACGTTTGAGGTCGGACAACACGTGTTGGTTAGGAAAGCAAAAGGATCAAATGACGGACAAAGTCGAAAGTTGGAACCAAAATATAAGGGTCCTTTTGTAGTTACGAAAGTTCTTGATGATGACCGTTACGTGGTTGAAGAACTGCCTGGTTCCAAGCGTTCTAGGACGGCATACACCGGAATATGCCCTTCGGAACGTATGAAGTTATTCATTGCTAGAGTTTCTTCTGAGGAGGATGACTCTTGCAGTGAATGAATTATAACTTAATCTTAGAGCAGTAGATTGAAGATTTTTGTTTTTATTTGTTCTAGATAAGCCTTTCTCGAGGGCGTGAAAATCTGCAGGTTGGCCGACTGTAATAATCAAAGGGTACCTACTACCTACTACACTGTAATAATAAAAGGGTACCTACTACCTACTACCTATACTATAGAAGTCTTGGGCCATCCAAAAAACAGTTGACCGTCGCAATATCCAAGGCGGACGAGTCCAAGTTCGCTGATCGGAGGGCAGTCGAATATCTGCATTGAAGCGGTCCAGTGGTTGTTTACTTTTGGTTTCTCGGCTTTATATTATACGCAATTTCTTTTTTTAAATATAAAAGCGATTCCTTGAGTCTAGTGTTTTTACACTCGTATAGAAGCGATGAAATTAGCTTATGAATATGCTTCATCAAATTCCAAAAAAGTTCCAGACAGTTGGTCAAGAAACTGTTCAGCTGGAAAAGACTGGTTCCGTGGGTTTCTTCATAGAAATAAAGAAATAAGTCTGCGAACGCCTGAAGCAACTAGTTTATCAAGGGCGACTAGTTTCAATAAGAAGAATGTTGGTGACTTTTTTGATAATCTGAGGCGTGTTCGGGAGAAATATAAGTTTGAACCACAAAATATTTTTAATTGTGATGAGACAGGATGTACTACTGTTCAGGACTGTCCAAAAGTGTTAGCAAGCAAACAATCAAGGCAAGTGGGACAAGCAACTTCTGCTGACAGAGGAACTCTTGTAACAATTTGCTGTGCAGCTAATGCAATTGGGAATGTCATACCACCATTCTTTGTATTTCCTCGTGTCAAATATCGGGAAGATTTTGTATCTAATGGACCAGAGGGATCGGATGGCGACGCATACTCCAGTGGTTGGATGACCAAAAAGAGCTTTTTGAAGTTCATGGAACATTTCAAAAAGTATTCCCGAGCATCCAAAGAAAATCCTGTTTTACTTATATTCGACAATCATGAAAGCCATATAAGCATAGATGTAGTCAACTTTGCCAAAGAGAATGGTATAACAATAGTAACGATCCCTCCGCATTGCAGCGGTAAGCTGCAACCGTTAGATGTTGCTGTTTATTCTTCATTTAAGTCACGTTATAACAGAGTTTTGAATAACTGGATGCTATCAAATCCAGGGAAAACGGTGACGATATATAATATACCGGAGCTTATAAAGACATTGATGTCAGACGCCTTTAGTCAGGCGAACATCCTTAGTGGGTTTAGAAAGAGCGGCATTCATCCTTTTAATCCTGATATTTTCACTGAGGAAGAATTCATGTGCTCTGCAGTCACTGACAGAAGTTTCTTGGGCGATGACGATATGCTTTCTGCTCATTCGACTCTTCAAGACCATTCGGCTCGACTGACTTTTTCTAATAGTATAGAAAACCCGTCATCTTCCTTTGACAATCACTCCATGCGTAGTGATCAAAATGGTGCTCACTTAGATAAGGTTCCACTTGTAGCTCCGGCAGCAATAAGGCCTTACCCAAAAGCTTCGCCCAGGAAGAAAACACGGCATGGTCGTCAGCCAGGAAAAACAAAAATCTTAACCGAAACTCCTGAAAAAGAAGATAATCCTGTAGCTGATCCGGCAACTGTTGGGATACTCACCGAAAGGAACATTGAGGAGAACCGAACGATGGCTGCGAAAAACTCGAGGGTAGGAGGAATTAAAAAGAACATCTTTCAAGATGATGAAACAGAAACGCAACGGGAAGATAGTTCAACCATAGTCGAGCATAAATCCAGAAAGAGAAATTTCAGGAGTTCGACTGGAAATGGAAGCACAAGAAGAAAGACCAAGTTGAAAAAACGCGTTAAATCCAGTGAAACAGAATCAGAGGACGAGTGCGTTATCCAATATGCTGATAGCTCGAGTGGTGACGAGGCTCAAGATCCAAGTGACCCTTGGTATTGTTTTGTTTGCCAAAACGAAGAGGTTTTGGATATGCGCCTTTGCATTTCCTGTAAAAGGTATGCACATGAAATATGTGTTGGACTGACGAATAAAGACAATGAAAACTTCATATGCCATGAGTGCGACTGAAATTATTAATATTTGTGTTTTATGTGTTGATGACACCTTAGGTTCTAGAGAAAATTCAACTTTTTGTTAGTTTTGTCTTGGATTATTCCAACCCAGCAATGAATGTAGAAGTTTCGTTTGTAGTTAATGCTGATATTCTAAATAAACTATTTGAGAGTTGAAAACAGTTTGTCTTTATTTCTCTGTATACATATATATAAGTTATAGGGCTACCCTGTAGAAGCTAGAAAATAGAAAATGCAAGTCAGCACATCATCGCAGCGCCTAGCAACCGTTGAAATGCAACATGATATGTTTCCTGTATTACTCATGCTAACGAACATTGTACTTCTATAATTAAAATTTAGTCTTAATCTAAGTTTCGTACCATCCACTACTGTATTTTCGGAAATAAATATTTTTTAAAAAGGCACTTACGTTATCCCGAAATATTAGTGGCGCAGCCAGTAGGATATTTGGGGGTTGTTTACGGCTTATAAACCACCCTTCGTCGAACGATTAACCAAATACGAACCGAAAAAAAAGTCTCGCGAATCGGTAATTTCGGTCGGTCGCGTGGACTCAACCATCTAGAGGAATTCCAACTTGGTGGATCGAGTAGCCAAGTGAGAAGACGTCAACCAAGGGGCCAAGGGAATATTGGACCAGAGGACCAAAGGAATATTGGACCACGGCGGAATCTCTACTCTGCAGCATACAGGGCATGGAACTTCTAGTGGTATTGCTGTAAGTACCTAATGTCTTTTAGAGGACTCGAAAATATTAATTCTGATAGCAGTGATAGCGCGGAATCGGATTCTGACTCACCAATAGCTAATTCGAATATTCAATTCTCAAGACCAATTTTTAGATCACCAATTCTGAATTTACCTATTATCAGTGAAAATCAATTAAGTAACGTCACAATGACTACTAGTTCAAACAATGTACCTTTCCTAAAACCAGAATACTTGCACATGATTCCTGATTTTCATGGTGAACCAGAATTATTACCCAGATTTCTTGAAATTTCAGAGAAATTAGTCACGAAATTTTATAATGCAACAAATCCAGAGGACTTTCAAAACGAATATTTGATGTCAAGTTTGCTTGCGAAAATAAAAGGCGACGCAGCACTTAATATTTCTTCGTCTCACATAAAAAACTGGCAAGATTTAAAAAATGCTCTTCTCAATGCTTATGCAGATAAGCGCGATCTTTTCACGTTGAATATAGAGATGGTAGAATTAAGGCAAAATCAAAACGAAAACCCTTTTGAATTTTATAATAGGATTCAACATCTGTTAAATTTACAAATTTCATACTCTGTATCACACTTACCAGAAAATGAAGCTATAATAGTTAATAACTATTGTAGAAGTCTAGCTTTAAGAATTTTATTAAGAGGTTTGAAGGAACCTATTGGATCTTTAATGCGTACAAAAAACCCAGAAGATCTCAATCAAGCTTTGCACATGCTTACGAATGATTTTCAGTTAGAGGTAGTACAACAAAATCAATTTAAACAGAAGTTCGGTCAAAAACATCATCCGAAGGCAAATCAATTTAAGCGAAATCCTCAAAATTTACAAAACTCACAGTTTAGATCACCCTTACCTATTACTAATTATCCTCATAACCAAAATCATCGTAGCCAGAACAATGCTAGACAAACACAGCAACCTAATGTGTTTAGGCCGAATCAAAATCAATCGTTTCCTAAACCTACACCTATGTCGACGTCAACTAGAAATACATTCAGACCTCAGCAAAATCAAACGTACCAAAGAAGTCCAAATCACAATTATTTTGTAAATCACAACAATTCGATACCCAATTACGTGGTTGAGGAATTATTTAATATAGACCAGGAGCCACAGGTTGACTACCCAAACGAACCTGATGATTCGAATCAAGATAACGATGGAGATCAATTTTTTCGGCAAACAGCCTCGGATCAGTAATGCCTCATTATGAGCTAATGAATACAAATAGCGATAGTGAATTACCTTATATTATTTTTCCTAAGTTACATTTGAAAATATTGATAGACACAGGTAGTACGAAAAGTTTTATTCGTCCAGAAATTGCGGATAAATATTTTAAAGATTCGATTAAAAAGGATCCATTTCAAATTTCCACGGTTCATGGAAGTTCAACTGAAAATTTCAGTACTACAATACCTTCTATTGATATGTTCAACACAAAAGTGAACAATAAGTTAAAGTTTTATCTTTTCAATTTTCACAAATATTTTGATTGTTTATTAGGAGTCGATAACTTGAAACTAATGAAAGCATTTATTGACCTAGATAATGAAACATTGGTACTTCCAAATACCAGTACGAAGATATATTTTCATAAAACATTACCTAGTACAAATTGTATTATAGTAGAACCTCGCACAGAGAAAATAATCGAGATCCAAGTCTCAAATATCACAAATGGTGATGTAGTTATTCCTTATACAAGGATAAGTAATTTAGAAATACCGCAGTGTATTGCTACAGTGAAAAATGGAAAAGCCATTTGCACTATTTTGAATCCGAACGATTCATCAATAAAAATAAGTAATTTAGATCCATTGAGAGTAGATCAGTTCGCGGATTACGAGTTGGCTACTACAATCAGTGAAACTAATTTACATAATTATTGTACAGATCAAGTTAAGATCGATTTTTCTAAATTTAGAACGGAACATATGAATTTCGAAGAGAAAAATGCGATTATGAAGTTAATTAAAGATTATTCCGACATTTTTTATTTTGAAGGAGACAAATTATCATTTACTAGCAAAATTAAACATAAAATTCGAACTACAGACGAGATACCAATATATACTAAGTCATATCGATATCCAGAGATACACAGAAAAGAAATCCAAAATCAAATTCAGAAAATGCTTAACCAAAATATTATTAGACATTCAACATCAGCATATTGTGCTCCATTATGGATAGTAGAGAAGAAGTTCGATGCTAGCGGTAAAAGAAAATGGCGCGTAGTCATCGATTACAGAAAGCTCAATGAAAAAACTATTGGAGACAAATACCCCCTTCCAAATATTAATGATTTGTTAGATAAATTAGGCAAGTGCCAATACTTTACGACACTCGATTTAGCTTCCGGGTTTCACCAGATTGAAATGTCTGAAGAAGACATCGAGAAAACAGCTTTTAATGCGGAAAATGGTCATTACGAATTTTTGCGAATGCCATTTGGATTAAAGAATGCACCAGCCACTTTCCAAAGAGTTATGGATAATATTTTGCGTGGAATTCAAAACGAAAAATGTTTGGTTTACTTAGATGACATTATTATTTTTAGCACAAGTTTACAAGAACATATTGAAAGGCTAAAAGAAGTTTTCGAACGTTTAAGACAGGCAAATCTCAAAATTCAGCTGGATAAATCAGAATTCTTGAGAAAAGAAGTTGCTTATTTAGGACATGTAGTAACCAAAGACGGAGTAAAACCGAACCCAGACAAAATTTTAGCTATTCAAAAATACCCATTACCGAAAACTGCAAAACAAATTAAAGGATTTTTAGGATTATTGGGATATTATAGAAAATTTATTAAGGACTTTGCGCGATTAACAAAGCCTTTGACAAAATGCTTGAAAAAAGATGCTACTATCGATTACAAGAATCCAGAATATATTAAGTGTTTTGACACGTGTAGAAATTTATTAATGAATGAGCCAATTTTACAATATCCAAATTTTGAAGAACCATTTATTTTGACAACAGACGCTAGTAATTATGCAATTTCTGCAATTCTTAGCCAAAGAAAAATAGGATCGGATTTACCTATAGCATACGCGAGTCGAACATTAATCTCATCCGAAATTAATTATAGTACCACAGAAAAAGAACTTCTTGCGATAATATACGGTGTTAAATATTTCAGACCATACCTTTTCGGTAGAACCTTCACGATCGTTACAGATCATGCACCATTACAATATTTAATGAATCATAGATCACCAAATTCAAGACTAATCAGATGGAGATTATCTCTTGAGCAATATGAGTACAAAATTGTCTATAAAAAAGGAAAATTGAATAAAAACGCAGACGCATTGTCTAGAATTGAGCTCAATGCTAATGAAACCAAGAACGTACACGACAACCCTCCAATTTTTGATTTTATTGGCCAATTCAATAGTCAATTAGCATCCACTTCCGGTGTACAAACACGTAATCAAAATTTAGATCAGAATGATAGTCAATCAATGATAGTAGAAGCCAATGATAGCCAAATCGATATAGATATCGAAGAATCAACCGATCAAACAATTCATTCTAGCCCCGAACATCCAATTATAGGAATACCAATAACTGATACTCCAGTCAACTATGGTAAAAATCAGATCATTATTTCACAAGTAAATTTTTCACCTGCTGATCCTTCTATCATAAAATTATTCAAGGATAAGCAGAGAATACTTATTCAGTTTTCTAAAGACAATTATGAACAAGAAATGGTAAATTTTATTAAGGAATATGTTGCACCAAAAATTAAATATCATCTTTACTTTGAAGATCCCATTTACGAACAATTCTGTTCTGTATTACAGAAGTATTTCAAAAATTCTGAAATCAATATGACAAAGTGCACGAAGAAATTAATTGATATCACAGACGACACTGAAGTAGAATCAATTATTAGAAATCACCATGAAGGAAAAACTAATCACAGAGGTATCGAAGAAACTGAAAAGCGAATTAAAGCACATTATTATATTCCAAAATTATTCAATACTGTTAGAGATTTTAATAACCAATACGATAATTTTAAGCTTAAGATTTATAAGTATGGTACAGATTTCGAAGATTATGATAGAATGATTAACATTACTCAACAATCTATTTTAAGAAAAATAGAAAATATTCGTATACACTATACTGCCCATAATAGATCACGTAGAGGTTTATTTAATGGAATTGGTAGTGTAGTTAGATTCATAACAGGTAATTTAGATTCACATGACGGAGAAAAAATTTACAAAATTATGA